ATATATTGTAACTTTATAAAGCAAAGGAATAATAAATATAATTTAACATCGCAAATGTTAGGTATGGCATAGAATTATCCTAAATACTTTAACATCTGAAATACATGTATAAATTCATGTGTAAAATGTTTTCAATTTTAGCTTTATTGAGGTATAGTTAACATATCAAATTGTAAGATATTTAAAGTATATATTATGATTTGAAGTATGTGTGTTTGTGTGTGTGTGTGTGTGAGTGTGTAGTGAAAGATTTCTCCCATCCTGTTAATTAACATATCCACCAACTCACATATTTCTCTTTCATTTACTTTTTTTGTGTATGAGAATATTTAAGTTACACTCTCTTAGCAAATTTCAATTATACAATACAGTATTATCAACTATGTTCATCGTGTTTTACATTAGATCCTCATATTTTTTCACTTCATAGCTCAAAATATGTATCCTTTTACTAACCTCTCCTTATTTCCCCATCCTCTAGCCTCTGACAACTACTTTTTGACTCTCTGTTTATATAAGTTTACTCTTCTTTTTAGATTCCACATATCAATAAATGATTCCATGTATTATTTGTCTTTGTCTGGATTATTTCATTTAGTATAATGCCATGAAGGTCCACCCATGTTGTTCAAAATGACAGGATTTCCTTCTTTCTCATAGCTACAATATTCCATTGTGTGTGTATATATACAAGATGTGATCAAAAGATATGGTAAAAGTTTAAATAAAAAATTATTACAGTAAAAGACCCATTAATTCCCCTCAAAATACTCCCCGTCGCTTTGAACACACTTATCGCATCATTCTTGCCACTTGCTGAAGTAGTTTTGAAAGTCCTCTTTCATGAATGTATTTACATTATTCTCTATCATGACAATGCTCTGTGTCACACATCGCTTCTGGTACATGGCAATTTCTGTTAAATAAAAACATTATGGTGTGTCCTCATCCACCTTGTTCACCAGATCTGGCACTGTGAGACTTCTGGCTCTTCCCCAAAGTCAAAATCATTCAGGACATCAAGGCAACCACAACAGTGCTGTGATATATATGTATCACAATTTCTTTATCTGTTCATCCCTTGGTAGAAACTTAGGTTGTTTCCATAAGTTGGCTATTGTGAACAATGCTGCAATGAATATGGGAATGCAGATGTATCTTTGATATCTTGTTTCCTTTGGATATATACTCATAAGTGGAATTGCTGCGTCATATGATTTTTCAAATTTTTAAGTTCTTATGGAACCTCCATACTGTTTTCCATTGTGGCTGCATCAATTTACATTCCTGCCAAGAATGCACAAGGGTTCCCTTTTCTCCACATACTTTCCAACACTTGTTATCTCTTGTCTTGATGATAAACATTCTGACAGATTTGAGGTGATATCTCATTGTGGTTTTGATTTGCATTTTTGATTTGCATTTTCCTGATTAGTGATGTTCAACACCTTTTCATGTATCTGTTGGCCCTTCGTATTTCTACTTTGAAAAACTCTTTCTTCATTTCCTCTGCCCATTTTTAATTGGCCTTTTTTTTTTCCTTTTTGCAATTGAGTTGTATGCATGCCTTGTGTATTTTGGACATTAACCCTTTATCAGATATATGATTTGCAAAATATTTTCTCCCATTGGATAGGTTGCTTTTTCATTTTGTTGATGGTTTTTCTTTGTTGTGCAAAAGATTACTACTTTGATATAGTCCCAATTGTTTAGCTATTGTTTTCTTTCCTTTTGGTATCAAATTCAAAAAATTACTACCAAGATTGATATCAAGGAGCTTACTGCCTGTTTTCTTCTAGGAATTTTAAGGTTTGATGTCATACATTCAAGGCTTAATCCTTTCTGAGTTGCTTTTTGTGGATGGTGTAAGATAGTGGTCCAGTTTTATTGTTTTGCATGTAGCTTATTATTTATTTAAGATATTTTCCTTTCCTCATTGTATATCTTTGGTTCATTTGTCATAAATTAATTGACTGTATATACATAGGTTTATTTTGTGTTATTCTGGGTATTATTATTAGTTTGTATATTTACTTGCTCCATGTGTCTGCATGTCTGTGTTTATGCCAATACCATACTTGTTTGATTACAGTAGTTTTATAATAGAGCTTTAAATCAAGAAGTTTGATGCCTTCATTTTTATTCTTCTTTCTCAAGATTGCTTTGGCTATTCATGTTTTTTTGTTATTCCATACAAATTTTAGTATTGGCTTGTTCTATTTCTGTTAAAAAAATGACATTGGAATTTTGATAAGTATTGCATTGAACCTGTAGACCAATTTCAGTACTACTAACATTTTAACAGTATTAATTCTTCCAATTCAAGAGCATAAAATATCTTTCGATTTATTCATGTCACCTTCAATTTCATTTAATGTATTATAGTTTTCAATATATAGATCATTCATCTCCTTGATTAAATTTATACTTAGGTACTTTATTATTTGATTCAATTATCAATGGGATTGTTTTCTTAAGTTCTTTTTTCTAATAATTTATTAGTAGTGTATAGAGACACAAAGTTTTTTAAATATGTCATGCCATCTATAAATAGATGTAGTTTACTTATTCCTTTATGATTTGGATGGATTTACTTTTCTTGCTTAATTACTAGGACTTCCAGTATTGTGTTACATAAAAGTAGTGGGAGTAGACATCCTTGTCTTGTTCCTGATCTTAGAAGAAAAGCTTTTAGTTTTCACCATTGAGTATGATGTTAGCTGTGGGCTTGTCATATATGACCTTTATTATGTTGATGTACGTTTACTTTATACCCATTTTGTTGAGAGTTTTTGTCAAAAATGGATGTTGAAATTTATTGAATGCTTTTTCTGCACCTATCGAGATGCTTATATGATTTTTTCTTTGTTTTTATTAATGTGGTGTATTACATTAATTGATTTTCAGATGTTAAACTATTCTCGCATCCCTGAAATAAATTTCACTCAATCGTGGTGTATGATCCTTTTAACGTATTGTTTAATTTTCTTTGCTAATGTTTTCTTGACAATTTTTACATCTATGTTCATCAGAAGTATTGGTCTCTAATTTTCTTTCCTTGTAATGTCCTTGTCTAAGTTTAGTATCAGGGTAATGCTGGCCTTGTAAAATGAGTTTGGAAGTATTTCCTCCTTTTCTATTTTTTTAGGAGTTTTTGAGAATGACTGACATTAATTCTTCTTTAAATGTTTGATAGAATTCACCAGTGAAGCTATTTTGTCCTGGACTTTTGTTGTTGTGGTCATTCTTCTTCTTGTTGTTGCTGTTGTTGGGAGTATTTTGATTACTGATTTAATGTCTTTACTAGGAATTGATCTGTTCATATTTTCTGTCTTTTCGTGATGCAATCTTGGTAGGTTGTATGTGTCTAGGAATTTACCCGTTTCTTCCAGGTTGCTCAATTTGTTAGTGTATAAATGTTCATATTAGTCACAGTTGAACCTTAATATTTGTGTGGTATCAGTTGTAATATCTCCTTTTTCATTTTTAATTTTATTTATTTGAGTCATGCCTCCTTTTTCGTGGTAAATCTACTAAAGGTTTGTGTTTTTGTTTATGTTTTCAAAGGATCAGCACTTAGTTTCATTATTCTTTCTATTTTCTTTTCAGTCTCTGTTTTATTTATTTCCACTCTGATATTTGTTGTTTCCTTCATTCTATTAATTTTGGGCTTACTTTTTTCTTCTTTTTTTAGTTCCTGAGATGTAAAGTTAGGTTGTTTATTTGATGTCTTTCTTTTTTCTTAATGTGGACTTTTTTTTGCTATACGCTTTCCACTTAGAATCACTTTTGCTGTGTCCCATAAGTTTTGGTGTATTAGATTTCCTATTTTCATTTGTCTAAATAGTTTTTTATTTCTATTTTGATTGCTTCTCTGCACCTTAGATATTCAGTAGCATGTTGTGTAATCTACACATATTTGAGAATTTTCCAGTTTTCTTCTTATAATCGATAAATATTTTTATACCACAGTGGTCAAAACACATGCTTGATAAAATTTCAATATTTTTATTTATTTATTTATTTATTTTTATAAAGATTTTTTTTTTAATTGGGGAATTGGGGGATGGGAACAGAACTGGGGAATTGAGGGAAGGGGAACAGACAAGTTGCTGTCATCTTGTTCTTCAGTCTAGTTGTGGAGGACATTGCTTCACTGGCCCAAGTTGACACCATCACTGCGCTCTTCCTGGGGGAGGCAGATCAGTCGCGGGCTTCTGGACGGCTGCTCACTGCGGCTGCTGGCCGCTCACGCTGGCTGCTGGCCACACACAGTAGCCCATGGCAACCCACTGCCACAGGGGCTGCAGCCTGCGCCGTCGCCGGTGACTCATGGCAGCCCAACTCCAGGTTGAGCTGTTGTTCAGCATCTTAGCTGTGGAGGGCAGTGTCACTGGCCCTCATATGTGGGATCCGAACCGGGGCCCTCTGGCGTCCCAAGCCAGTTCTTAACCATCGTGCCACTCGGCCGGCCCAAAATTTCAATATTTTTAAATTTTACGACTTTTTGCCTAACATATTTCTATTCTGGACTGTGTTCCTTGTGTCAATAAGAAGAATATGTATTCTACTGTTATTAGATGGAATTTTCTGTAAATATCTCTTAAGTTCATCTGATCTATTATGTAGTTATAATCCTAAGCTATCTTAGTGGTTTTCTGTCTGGATTATGTGTGAAATATTTTAAGAAATTCATGAAAAATTTTATGGTGATATTCTTCTGTATTTGTTATTAAATATAAATTACAAAGGGAAAATTAAATCTGGAAAAGCAACAAGTAAATTAATATGTTTAACCAGATTTGCTGCATTTGCTGACATGTTAAACAGCATAGTAACTGCTGTATAAATAAATAGGACCTTGATATAAAATATTTAATAAGAAAAGTAGATTTTGTTCAAACAGTGGAAAGTAAAAAAAAAAGATCATTAGTAAAAAGAAAGATATTTATTTATTTACTCTTTCTTAACAGGTGACCTTATTTATTCTTTCTTAACAGGTGACCTTAAAGGATTGCCATTTATTACCATTCAAAAACTACTGAGCATCATTTTTGCATGACTACTGAAAAAGGATATCTTCAGAGAAGCCAGTCCCTTTTTGAAGTTCATAATTGGGACTCTGTTTTCAGAAAGCAGGTACAGTTTGTCTTTTATTAATCTGCTTTTAAATTGAAAATAACGTTGAAGAAAAAACATAATAACTGTGTGTATCATTTATGGAATTCCTTAACAACACCTCAATTTGTCAAAGTTTAAATTTTATATACTTAAAATAAGCATTTTTATCTTCAAATTTTTTTAAAAAAACCTCTTGATTGTGTCAGTAACACAAACACTACAAATATTCTGGAAAGAATATTAATTTGAAAAATAGTAAAATATTTTGTTTTTGTTAAAGTTTAATTTGATATGAGAATGGCAAGCACATAAAGATTGTGTTATGTTGCTGAAAACGAGAGAACCTGTACGCTGGTGTAGCCTCCTGGTTCATGATATCTTCCTTAATCAATGCATAATGTGCTAGTGGGTGGATTTTGTGCTTTTGTGACAGCTTCAGTTTGGAGACAATGCTTTAGTTCTATAAGCAGGAAGTCATGGACAAACATATTGAATCACTCCCACCTTAATTTGGAATCTCCCAAATGAAAGTGACTTTTATGCTGTTTGCTCAGAAGCTCCACATTCTTATAAGTACATACTTATTCATTAACCAAAGTCATTAAGTATTAATTGCATCTATTTTGAATAAAAATAACCACTGTGTAACTTAAAAATAGTCCTTTTAAATGAATACATTAAAATATTTTAGAATACATAATTTCACACAGGTTTAGTATTCACAACTAAGTGGGCATTAACAGATGACCTTAAATTAAATCCACTGTGTGCCACTTACCTAACATATGATGTATTTTAGATAATCAACCAAGGAAGTCAATTAATTTTGGATATAGAATTATTTATGTAATTATTTGTAAAATAATGACAACATCATACCCACATTCAAGGCTGCCATATATCAATCTTCTGATTTGTCAGGTTAATTCAAGTTAATTGATTCAAAATATTGGCAAGTATTTTCTTCAGCCTAGTCTATGCTTTCCCTTTCTTCAGGCTTAAAAATTTGAGATAAAGAAGAAAAGTGACTAAATATGAATTTGAGATCCGTTCTGTAAGAGACAGTCCGAGTGAAGAGTTTGACCAGTGTAATTTTCCTTTCTACTACTCATGCCCAAATCATGGATGGTCACTGAAGAAAATTTTACTTTTTAAGTGTCTTTTATTCATTCCATTTTAAATCATACCAGTTTGTCATTTTTAATGAAAGCCCTAAGTGCACCAGGTATAAGGATGCTTTTGTAGAGAAAAACAACCATACCTTTTACATTTTCCCAAAGATTAAAAAATAAGTGGAGAGAAAAGATAAGAAAGTAAGTAGAAAGTTTTTTATAATGAAACCTCAAACCCTGGAAAAAAGTGAGTTCCCCATAAATTAGTCCATTACTGTATTATAATATTAGACAGTTTTTTAGCCAAATTTTGTCATCATAGTTCTGTTTGTCACAAGAATGATATCAGAATAGGTTACATATACAAAATAAAATACCAATTTGTGTTCTGTCTAGAAATTATGTTTATACATTTTGGAAGATATTTCATATATATATTATATATTATATATTATATATTATATATTATATATTATATGCAATATAATTTATTGTATAAAACATTTTGTTCTTTTACTGGAACATCTTAACAAATGAAACTTTATATTGCCTTGCTACTTCTGTGGTATCTGTGAATACCAGAGATAAATTATATGCAGACACCTAAGTTGAATTTTGCAATGTTAGGAAACATTGATGGTTCTTGTGAGATTTTCAAAGAGAGGTAACTGAACATGGCATAGCAGCTGTAGATAAGAGGATTTGGGATCTAATGCTTACTTCCAGATGGATGATGGATATTCAATTTAAATTTATGGTAGACATATCAGCAGATGGAAATAAAATGGAGTGAATGTCTTTGCCACCTGTGAACTGGTGCAGTCTATCAATTGCCAACTGAATTATACTAAATTTAAGTAGTTCAACAGAATTCTAATTAATTTTTGAGAAGAAACTTTTTCTCAACCTGTTAATAAGTCTAGTGTTCAAGTTGATGATGTAGAGCTTATGTAACAGTCCAGGAAACCTCTGGAATCAGGTTGGAAAAACATAGTTCAGTCTTGTCATGTCACCCTTGTTATTGTTCATGTCACCTTGTTAATTGAAAAGCATATTGCTAGAACAGGAAGGAGTTGAAGCAAATGAGACTGACTGAGCGCTCCAAAAAGACATAAGTGAATTAGAATTGATGAATCTGATGAGAGTGGATTCACAGTGTCACTTTAAATAAAACCCTGTTTCATTCAAGTACTTGCAGGTAATGTGTCACTACAACTACTAAGAGCATTCAGGGGAGTCACTGACAGTTTCATCTTGATACAATAAGCTAAATTCCTTCCATACTAAAAGACAAAATATACCAAAAGTGTTCCTTAGTTCAGCCTTTAAGAATGAAATGTTTCACTCAATAACTTACACATCTCCAACCAGTAGGTGTTGGCTCAGTTCCAAGAGAAATAACTTTGTTTCATTAGAGAAGAACCTAAATGGCTCTAGGTTTATTGATTTTCAGAACTGGCAAAATTCTTATCACTTAATGAAAAACAAACAACAGAATTAACGGAACAAGAAAGCTTCATCCTTACTATCAATGTATACAACTACAGAGGACTATAGGTGATAAAAAATATAGTGGGGTGTTATCCCAACTTCAAAAATGGGAAATGTGATTTTGATCATTACTGGTCTTGGAAACTGTACAGAAATTTGAAAGAAAAAAAACCTTTTTATGTACATTAGTTGCAATATGTGCATCGTGTATATTAACAGCACTGCTATTTCTTATAATGTTTACAGTGTGGCACCCAGCACTGACAACTTAAAATAATGGGGAGGTTCTATGCAGATAGTTGTGACTGAATATTAGAAAGAATTGCCTAACAATTGGAGTTCACGATAGTTTTTCAGGGATGGTCCATCCAAATTAATGAAAATGTACAATTTCTAGTAGTCAGGAAGGGAGATGGAATGGTTTCTTCCAAATTGTTATTCAATAATAAAATCTTAATTCATTTTAAGATGTCGGTTACAAATATCTGTATTTTGCCATTTGTAAAATTTTATTTATTTAATTTTAATTATATTTGTAGTTTTTTTTTCCTTTGGGGAGATTTTTTTTTAATATTGTATAGGAAAATTTGTTATATAAAGTATACAAAAATACCTAGGTATTGAATCAAGATAGAATGACAAGTAATTTATCAGTTGTTATGAAATATTGTATAATTTGAAAGTGTATGAATTTCTCAGCATTTATCTCTACCAATTATAAAGGTGAGAGGGAGTGGTTTAAATTGAGTACCAAAGGATTGTCTTTAATATAAGCTTATTCATAGAAGATATGTTGTTGAATTAATATTTCTCAAGTTGGTGCCCCTAAGAATAGGAAAGGAAACTACGTTTGACCAGAGCAAGAAGCGGTAAAAAAAAAAAAAAGGAACAAATTTCAGCGTGCTAATAAGACAGTGCTTGTGTTTTATAGTGCACAGACTTTTCCTAGAATGATGTAAAATATTCACAAAGTGTAAACATTCAAACACTTCGAGTAATGTAAATGTATACAAAATACCTCATAAATACTTGCCTGATTAATAATTCTTATTGAGTATTTCTAATGTGGAAATAATTTATAAAAACATTGGCATTTAGGATGTGTCATTCTTTCCTACACCTTTAAATGCCAAGGAAGACTGAACATGAAAAACAAAAGCCAAAATGATTTTTCTGGAGCAATTTTCTAACGTAATAAAGTTTTTGTCCAATCTATTTGCATTCCAGCAGTGGAAATCCTTAGCCTGAATCCTCACCTTTCTGAATGACCCAGGGCCTTCCTACAAAATATATGAGGGGCTCCATCTCTACCAGTAGATGTCTGAAATTCACTTAGTCTCTGTACTAAGACTGGTATACAGACAGACAAATCCTTATAAAAATACAGACTTTTCCTTAAAAACTGTCACATTTGCTGAATGTACTGAGATGATTTTGAGAAATGAAAAAGATTACAGACTTTGGAATAAGGCAGACTCAGGATTGAATCTATGCTGTAAATTTTCTAGCTTTAGGAATTTGGCTGTTATGAACCTCAAGTTTTCTTCAGCTTTAAAAGAATGGTTAATGTTTCATTTTGCAAGGGTGTGAGTAGGTAAACTTAGATATGTCTGTCTATCTATCTATCAATCTATCTATCTACACACACACTTACACAGGTACTCGGAGTTTGGTATCTGGAAGGTATTTAACACAAGTGCCATTGTGATAGAATGAGTACGTACTATATATTTTACCACTGAGTAGAAGAAACTTTACTGAGTGTCTGATAACATTTTTAAAAAATAGGAGGAAAGGAAGAAAGACAGAAGCAGAGAGGTAGGGAGGTAAAGGAAGTAGGAAACAATACAGAGTGAAGAAGGAAAGAAGAAAGAAAGAATAGGAGGGAGGGAAGGAAGGAAGGAAAGAAGGAAGGAAAGAAAGAAGGAAGGGGGAAGGGAAGGGAAGGAAGGGGGGAAAATGGGAAGTAGAGAAAGAGAAAAAAAGAGAAAGCAGGAAGAAAAAAAATAGATATGCCCTTTTTCTTTTCACCTAGTATTTGCATTTTAGAGCTGTTATGGATGTATGATTAACATAGAAAAGTGATTATCAATTATAAATTATTAGAAAATGTAATATAAAAAAACAAAACCCTCCCAGTCATAATCTAAACATTGATTGATGGATTTTGTGTTAACACATAGCACTATTTCTTCATTATTTTTCTCTCCAGTATATTAGAAGGCCTGGAGGCCTAATAACTGCATTTCTCAGAAGACCTGTCCCCAAGATTTAGGATCAGGTGCCAGTCAATGGGTAACATGGGATGTGGAAGGTATAAGAGAAGTATAAGTCTTATCATTGCCCTTGCAGCTACAGTGATCCCAGATGTTTTTCTTAGTATCATATATCTCAGTATTAGAAGCTATGGTTATT